ATAAGGCCATATCAGTCAGTGCAAGACAAGTACAGATTAGAAAAATATTTTTTGAAGTTGATCTACAAGAAAAATATGCTTGCACTCCAATTGGAGAGGCTTTCTGTTCTCTGTTTCGTGAGTATTGGGACAACAAAACTGTCATCAAATTTTTGCAAGACGCTGCTAATTTTACGTTTCAGCATCAATCAACTCTCAGTATTACCAGTTACATTCAAACAAGAATAAAAGCTCTATTTTTTGAATTTTTAGTATATATGTTATGGTTGATCAATCAAGATTGCAACTTAGACATTCTTGTATCACGAATGGATACTGATTCATATGAGATAGTCCAAAAAATTTTTTCCAGTGTCATTCAGACAATGTTTAAGAAGTTGCACAATTTACAAACAATGTCATACATTTGTCGCACTCTACGACCACCAGAAGACAAAAAGTTTCAGTTTCCTTTCTTTAATTTGACATATCATTATATGGAAGAGCAAATTGATGTTTGTTATGAAATTATAAACAAAAAGAAAATTGATCCAAAAACAAGCATTAGTCCAAAGAAGACTAAAGAGTTTCTAGAACAGCAGATGTTCAACGAAATGAAAAGCAAGTTAAATCAACTGATGAGGGTAATGTAGAGTTTGGTTGTACATTATTATATTTGCTTCTTTTAATTATACAGAATTTTGTCTTAGCTACAAATAATTTGTCTGGACGAGATCAAGCAATAGCTTCAGTTATTTCATCATTACAAAATGAAGATCTTTGGAAATGCTATTTTTATGACTTCATAAAGCTCAAGTGTGCACAATCTGACATAACACTGACAACACTTCCGGAGGAAACAGTTTTCACACCAGCTTTGTCTATTTATTTTAACTTTGAGCAAAAAAAAGACTATATTTCTGATTTAGCTTGGCTTCATGTTCACTCAGAGGTTCATAAAACAGATTTAAATCAAACAATTGATAAACTAAAAAGGTTAAAAACCTTCATAGCACATCAACCAGAGGAGACATTAGCAACTGTTACACAAACTATGGTCACTGGTTACAAGAATTTGGAGACTCTTATTATCAAGAGAAGTTATAAATCCTTGAATGACAGTGATCAAGCTGCTCTGATACAGTGGTACAAGTTATACAAAGATATTGTAAGGATAGATCTATAAAATATTTAATTATTATGATCTAATTTGTATCATTGTCTATAGATTCAAATGGAAAGTCTTTACAATTCTCTTCATGATTTAGAGGATTCACAACTGAGACTTGATTTCTTTAAGGTTCACATTATGTACAGTCTCATTCATTGTCACAAAGATCCTACATCAGCTGAATGTCTTGAATTTTGTTTATCTCTTTACAGCAAAAAAATTAATCCAGTACGTTTCATTATAATTATTAAAATTAGTATTTTTATTATGATTTTCATTATAGATATCAAATTCTAAAGTTGAGTATGCTTTTTCAGAATGTTTATCAGCTATGAAAGCTTTGAACTGTAGCAAGTCATTCATCGGCTCAGTTGTTGACATGTTACTTAGTTTCATGTTTCATACTATTACATTACCAGCTGGTCTGTCCTGTTATTGCTGGTTTTTTAACACAGCATTACCAGGAAGTAAAGACCAATTATTGCAGTACATCACTCCTGCTCAATACAAATTTTATCTCCTTTTGATCCTCAAATCAAAAAGCCAACTTAACGAAGATCAAAATGATGTTCTCAAAATTTTTCAATCAGATGTAAAATAAATAATTAAATTTTATTTGTATTTTTTTACACATAATAGTTACGTAAGAAAATCATGTCTCTTATTAATTCAGAAGTGAA